GGCTTTGAGAAGATTTAAGTGGCTGACTTCAAATATTTCAGTCACAGTTCAATGGGAAAGAAGATCGGCAAATGGGCTGGCAGACCTTCTAGCTAAACAAGGAGTACATAGGAATCAGCTCTTTTGGGCTCAATTGTAAGCTTTATGATGTAGTTTGGAGGCTACACCTCGTACCTCTTTGTGGGGAATTGTATGATAAATACTTAGTTCTTTATTTAATAAAATTTTCATTATCATTATCTATCAAAAAAAAAAAAAATTTCAGCCAGATCAATATTCTTCTCCACTGATCTTGTACTATCAATCAATTACCCGATCATTCTCACTCTCTTTTGCCTCTGAATCTTCTTCCTCCTCAACTGTCTCTTCTGATTTGCGAACACCCTCTGCAGCCACCTCAACCCTTATAACAGGAGCATCAGCCCCCGCCTTCAAGATATCACAATTTATCCTCTACTGAGTTGCACATAATTTATCTGCTATGAAGCTGCAAACCCTCATTATTCATGTGATCAATAGTTAGCAACTTATGAAGATAATCCAGCTGCATGAAACATGATGGATGACATGCCTTTGCCAAATGCTATCTGGGTCAACTGAATTTATTGTCCATCTTGAAAGAGCAATGCAAAATCTTACTGGAAAAAATTCCTTTTAATTTTTCAAAAGTGGATTTGATTTTGATTATTTGATTGCATGCATTATTATTTATTACTTAATGCTTGATGGGATGTTATTGGCTTATGGCATAAAATGGTTGGGAAGATTCTTAGTTTTTTGTTAGAATGCAGAAAGCAGCAGAAAGAGGAGGTTATGGAGGGGAGAGATATGAGCAGCTTGAGTTCCAAAGGAAAGTTGCACAACACTATAAGATGCTCTGTGATGCCACATGGAAGGTAGGCTCCATGATTCCCTTGTCAAAAGTGAATTTTAGTTTCTACATACAGTAGCTGCACTATCTGGTCGTCCTTACTGCCTATGTGCTCCTTTCACCTTGTTGGCCATCATTGATGGGTCCAAGGCCTTTTAGATACTGAAACTTGGAGTAGTAAGATTAATAGTATTACAAAATATAGAAGTTACACCATACATCTAATACTTACCAACTCTTTCCAACCATTCCATTCATTCTTTCTTGCTGGAGGTATCTTAGAGCCTGATGCATGAGCTAGCTGGGTTCTGTCTTATTTTCATTCAGAATTTCTATTTTTTAACTATGTTGTTTAACTTAATTGCTAAGTCAATACTCATAAATTCATGAAGAAAGTTTTTATTTTTTTTGCTTCATACGGTAATACACTGTATTTACACTCTACTAATAAAGTTGTATGATGTGGTACTTAAGGCCTTTCTTTTTCTAACTGCAGATTATTGATGCTTCACTTCCCATGGAAGATGTAGAGAAGCAGCTCAGAGAATTTGTGATGGATTGTATTGCTACATGCCAAATTGGAAAACCCCTATCCCAACTGTGGTTAAGGTAATACTGATCAAAAACCTTGCTTAAGGTAATAGCTGTGCTGACAAGGAGGTATTTCATCTGTACTCTAGGGTGCTTGAGAATTGAAAATATTTGTATAGTAGAATGTACATATTACCTCTAAGTGGGATGATGTGGATCTATGCTAGATGGATACTGCTAAGAGTTAGAATCTGACATGGGTACAAGGTGTTGGACTCAGTTGCTATACTTTAGTTTTAAGTTATACTTTTCAATGATGTCTTTTATATTATATGCATAAGTGGATAGTTGTTGGAAAAACAAAAAGATTGATTATAGTGAATCATCAAGTATTGCAAATTTACCATTCATGTTCAAATTTTACTTTATGAGTTTGAGGTTCTTTAGGTACATATTACAGATGTCAAAAGAAAATCCCATTTTGAAGCATGCAGGGTTTGCAAAGAGAAATATAGAGAAATAACAGATGAATAATTCTAAATAATAATCTCACGAAGTATTATCTACACTCTCCTTTGCTTGATATACCAGATTAAATGGTTTTCACTTAAACCTTTTAGACTAGTGGGTCATTCAGATTTTTGAATGAGACAATGATTTTCAGAAATAGAGAGAGAAGGGGTTGAAGTTTGGATGATGTCTGTAAACTTATTCTCAGGAATGTTTTAAAATGTGGAGGCATGACGCGAGGCATTCCGCTACCTAGAGGTGTGAGGCATAGTTCAGAACGTAAGAGATGTAAGCCTCCCGAGCACAAGGAGGCATAAGCCTCCTTAAGAGGAGGGGGATGAGGAGGAAGGAGGATCACATTTTTCTTTATTTTTAATAAAACTCTTTTATATTAAAAAGTTAAGATGCATAACACTAGTTGAGGATCTCATTTTTCTTTGTTTTTGTCTTTTTATATGAGGTGTGCATGAGGCACATGAGGCGTATGCCTCTAGCACGCCTCATGAAATAAGTGTACGAGGGCTTCTACGGCCTCTTTTCCTCCACAGTTTCATGTTGGGGGTTTCCTGAACGATCTTCACCGGATCAGGTTTGGAGGAGCAGGTGATGGCTCTACAGTAGCCAAAGAGTGACCTCTTTGTGGGGTTGAACAAAGGTCATATTGTAACAAAGAAAGAATTGGCTCCATGTCCATCTAACAGAAAAGGAAAAACAAGTAAGAGGGTACACTTTGTGAAAAACCTGATCAGGGAAGTTGCTGGGTTTGCACCTTATGAGAAGAGAATTATTGAACTTCTCAAAGTTGGGAAGGACAAACGTGCCTTAAAGGTGGAAAAGAAGAAGCTTGGTACTCACAAGAGGGCAAAGAAGAAGCGTGAAGAAATGTCAAGTGTCCTGCGCAAGATGAGGTCTGCTGGTGTTGACTGCAAGAAGAAGTGAGAGCATGCATCTGCTGCAAAAATGACTTGAACAAGTAGAGTTCAACCATTTTCTGTTTTGATTCCAATGAAAGTTCAGTAGTTAAGAGGTTTAGTTTTTTTCTTGGATCTGAAGTGGAGATTTAAGTTTTGTGCTTAACTTGTTTTAGTCTATATTGAGATCCGATTATGACCTTTAGATGGCAAAGGAAAATTAATAGATTCTATCTTTACATATCTTTTGGAATTGATACTTCTAATGCACCAAGTGTTCTTACTGCTAACAAAAAAAAAGTGTATGAGGCGTATGCCTCAGAGTTGTCAGCACCTCTGGCCTACCCTCAGGGCGTTTTGGGGACGCCTTGCCACCTCCAGGCGTACGCCTCCCATGCCTTTTAAAACACTATAAATTTATTCCTGATTTAAAATCAAGGTGCAGGATTTGGTAAATATTACAACACAGATCAAAAAACAGGAAGAAACGAGGTATAAAATTGGACCAGACAATCAGTTTTTTTCTATTCCATTTGATAAGAAATTATTGGGTGGTCATACCACAGAACCTAGAAGTCCTTTGAATGCTTCCACTAAAGGAAAGTTATATAGTTTTATCCCTATTTATTAGCTATTGTACCTAGTCACCAAAACAAGTTACCTTCCAACAAATATTTCTTAAAGAATTTATGTTCTCTCTCACTCTCTCTTCAAGTGCTATAGAATGTATTGTATTAGTAATCAAAAGGATATACAAAAGTGTGCCTATGAATATGCACAAATCACCGAGTTTCTGGAACCCGGTGATGGAAAGGTTTGAAAAAAGATTGGTATCCTGGAAAAAGAACTACCTCTCTCTTGGTGGGAGAATTACACTAATTAAGG